GATGGGCCGATCTCGACTCGGTGATCCTAATGGAGCTCGAGAGGTTGAGGGACGTGGGATTGGAAGTGTCGCGTGGGGTGAGCTTTTTCTATGCACACTCGTAGGGTGATGGAAGTCTCACATACGCGGTCGAGGTCAAATGGGTCGAGCGGCTCCTCCCCGACGAGGCCTGCCACAGACCCACAACAAGCTCGATGTGAAGAATGAAGCACGCCTTGATGTGCGTGCAGCTCTCATTGCATGCATCGGTTTTACGCTGCGAAGGGGAGGCGGTTGTGGAGGCCGACTACGGAGGCCGTCGGCGGCTCCGGTGGCGTAGCAGAGCATGGCCATTTCTGGTCCAAGGTTGTTGCATGCATTCCTGGGCGCGCATGGATTGGAACTTGCTTCATTTTTCATTTTTTCTTTTTTTTTGTTTAACATTTTTTAAAAACAGTTTCTTCATTTTTATTTTTATTTTTTTGAAAATTTTATGTAATTATAGAAATGCCCTAAAAATCAGTTTTTAGTCAAAACCATTAAAAATCAGCTTTTTTAGTCAAAATTATTTTTTTATCCGGTTTAGTGGGCACTTTGACAAACTCGTATAGGTCATATAGTGGTTTTGTAAAAAATAATAGTTTATATGGTGATTCGCCAAAACCGTAATAGTTCGGATGGAAAAAAGTTTTTTACACATAATATAATAAAGTTTTTTTACTTCTCTTCTATTTTCCGGCCCGGCCCGGCCCGGCCCGGCCCGGCCCGGCCCGATCCTGCCACTTAAGAAAATGGCTAAGACCAAAGACATGTAGGAATCAATTTTCAGCACAAAATTTAGTTTAAGAGGCCGCATGTGTAGATCTTCTAAAGAGATTTTCTTTACATAAAGCCACCAAGAAGCATATGCTTTGCTTGCTTCTTATACAACCACCCTTTTTTTTATATACTTTCTTGCTAAAATCTAACCCCTTTAGAAGCATGTACTTTCTTGTTAGCAGCATTGGGTTCTTAACAAAGTTAAAGACAAATTGCTTACTCTGAAAAGTACATTTTTTCCTTGCCTATGCCTTTTATTCCAAAATATGCAGCAGAAATTGATACTCGACCGCAATAAACTTTAATTCCAATTTAATTTACCAGTTAAATAAACTAATATTATTATTTTTCTTGGCGGGAAGTAATAACCATTGGGAAAAATATTATTTATTCATTGATAAAACATATGAATTTCAACATTGGGCTCGACAATAATTCAATTTTGAAGTACATTAAACGCGAGAACCGTTTGTCTCGCTGTTAGCACTAGCTAGTGGAAGAGACCTCGCTCAGAACACTACACTCTGTGTCCGAGTCTGAAGAAGAAGATGATGATGATGATGTTGAAGAACAAGAAAAATGTACACGTTTTTCTTCCCTCGTCACGAATAAATTCTCATTATGCCTACTAATAAATCTCCCGTTATGACCACAGACTTCAAATTTGGCACCCCTTTTCTTCGAAAAAATATGGCACAAGTCCCATTTTCCTATTTGCACCATGCATTCCTGCTTTTCAATAATAATAATTATAAGTCAATAGATGTTAATAAAACTTTTAATAGACGATACATCTTGTTAAAGACCGATAATATTCACCTTGGACGAATGTTTTTTCGTGTTTCCTCTAACGGCAATGCTGTGCAAATGCATGTACCAATCGGTTCTAGCGAAATTACAAGAACGTGTTCCCTTGAAAAAAACGAACGTCTTTTTGATCCCGACTATGGGAGACTTCCTTCTCGAACAGCTGATTAGTTTGTCGTGCCCAACAGCTCTCCAAAACCCATCACAAGTAACTCGGCTTCCTCCACTCACATAATTCCGATAGCTGCATTCCTTTTTACAGAAAAAGTACTTGTCCTGTTCCACCTCACCTACATTCGGTCAAAAAATAAAATAAAAAAATCGTCGATTATTATTAGACGTAAAGTAAAAAAAAAAATATTAGTAGCAAAATTAAATTAGTGAATAATCTGCATGCCTGGCAACGCCCACGGCTCGAAACCGGCAAAACTACTGATTTCAGGGACGACGTCAGCAGGCAAAGGAAACGAGAATATCTTTCTGGCTAAGTACTGAAAGATGATCTCTTCATCTGTGGGCTGGAATATGAATCCAGGAGGCAACTTGCTTGTAACAGAGTTGAACTTAATGTTATGATCCATGGGTATTATATATATTATGACTAACTAATTAAGATAAGAGTGAATGGTGTTGACTTGCATGGAGGGGTTTATATATACATAGTTACTGCTAACTTTATTTATCAGCTCTACCTTTTTTTTTTTCTTTCTTTCTTAGGCTAGTTGTGTGTGTGTGTGTGCTTGAAAAAGATGATGATGTGCCCAACTTTATTTCACTCTCTTTCCTCAAAAGTATGCTGCTTTCTGATTACATAGTTCATTGGTTACATGGTTAAGATATTCTAGTTAACTAATTATATATCTAGTGTTGTATATATGGGATGTCTAATTGTGTCAATTAATAAGATTGATTATAATTTATTTTGTTGAGATGTACGTAATTATTGTGACACGAAGGAAGTTGTATGTGTTGTTCGGATCCGATGCGAAAAAAAAAAA